AAGGCTCATGGCTAAATTCTGTGTCATTATACTATAGTCTGTTTGCTGACATTACAGCTAGTCTTTCCTGTAATTTGATCAGAAAAGCAGCAGGACAGAGGCATGTTTCTGGTAGCACCTGGCACATGTTGATGGAATTTATATAGATTAAAACACAAAACAAGTTGATAATCTAATGCAAAGTATCTTTTAGCCCTAAATCAGAAGCAGAACAGACAGCAGTTTTCTCTTCTCACTAAATCTTTCAAGAAGTCTTTAACTTTTCTTGTCTTCCCATAAAAGCAGGTGATCCTTTTTTCGTTTTCTCCATTCTCTGTATGGAGTAATTAATTCAAATTAAATTCCTAGATGTGTTAAAGGGGTTGCATCAACAACATGTGTTAATACCTCCAGTGTTATCAGAGTCATCTTCACTTTAAAGAGGCTTTTTGTTACTAGGAAAAAGTGGATGAAAACCACTTTCAAGGGAAAACAGCTTGTTTAGAAGGGCTAACACCAGGCACTAAAGAAACCCACCTTTATGGTCACTCGAATAAGAGTTTGCCAAGGATTAATAGTATGTGTATGTATACTGTTATTAAGGGAATAATAATGCTTTGAGTGTCACGTTGGGCATATGCAGAGGGGACTTCTGAACTTCTGCACAGCCAGGCAGGGGTGAGGGGATGTGATACACACACGCAGTGGACAGGCTATGGAATTTGGCGCTTGTGCCTGCTGAGAATGTGTTTTGATACCCAGCATAATTCTTGTCCTGCCCTGTCCTCTCCTGTATTTCACTTCTGAAAATCCTTCTTTGGACGTAGGAAATGTAGAAAGTTATTTGTGCTCTTTCAAAATTTGGGGGAGAGAAACACAATTTTGCAAAGCTCCTTCAGATTACTGCATTTAGGGATGCTTCAATAATCAGTCCAACTCTCAGACAGGACTATGGGAGGAGGAGATTTCCAGCTCCCCACTGGGATGGTTTGGCACAAGGGGACAGAGAAAGAGAATAAAGCAGGGTGGTGAACGTAGTCCTTTTTGCAGAAGGTGGCAGAACGAATGAGCATCTGTCTTGTTGAACTACAGGTGAGCAGGTAGATAAATTTTAAAAACCTTGTCAATGTCAATTTGCTTCCAGCGTTTCCTGACATACAGTCTGGGGTGTCTTAGAAGCAGTCTTCAAGAACTTCCAACCCTGAGATCTCATGCTCTATTTGTCCCTGGTGACTGCTGGCCTTTGATTCATTAGCGCAGACAAACTGATTTCTTTCCGCCCCTTTCCTCTGCATTCCCAGCTGAGGATTCCACTTTTCTGTGTGCATGAAAACGTGTCCTAGGAAGTCCTAAAATAAAAAATGTTTACATCACAGCTTGCTTGCTAAAATAGTCTTGTTCTCTCCTGACACACTGATCTTTTTCAGACTGCTTTTGTTCTCTTGTTAGCATACACAGCTGCCTGCGGTATGCCATGCCGAATGTAACACATGCAGGATGCTCATGTCAGTGTGTCAGGCTTGAAAACCAACGATTAAAAATTATGTTGCTCATTAGTCATTGCAAATCAAACTGAGAACAATGCTCTTCGGCCAATTTGTAAACAAACATCCTGTTCAACCTCTTCAGTGATTTCTCTTTAAGGAAGAGAATAAGAGACCAGCTCATAAATAAATAACTCCCTAATTCTGCTGGAGACACATATCAGGGCAGCATAGCAGATGAATAAATATTCTATAATTTCATCTTCTGCAAAATTGCCTCCTACAAATTTTAGCTTCAGATATCCCTAATGCAAATAGTGATTCATAAATATTTTATGAAAGCGAGCATATATGTGCGTGACGTACGCCTTTTCTCATGTGGACAAAGAATTAGCACTAAAAGGAACAAATTAGTATCCTGAGAATACTGTCAAGAACACCACACTAGAGAAAAAAATCCTCAGTCTAAAGAAAGGCTAATGCACGTTCCTCTTCTGTTTGTGAGCACCTGAAGCCTGTGTGGAAAAGTGACATTATTAGAAAAAAGGAATTTTCAGTGGAATTTCTGAGTATTTTTTCCTCAGCAAACACTGTGTCAGTTCTCTTGGGCACCTGGTGATCTAGGAAGTGCTTTGAAATCAGTCGCATTATTCCCTTCACTGTGTAAATTAACATTCATGGCCACAGACAAGGCTGAATTCAGACACCAGTCTGTGCCTAAGAAAAGCACATTTTCTCAGGCTTCCAGCAGAGTTGAAGATCGCAGATGACAGCACAGTACCATGGGCCTTCCTGCCCTATGCTCTCAGGAAAGCAGCTGCTTATAGCTGGAACTCTGGAAAAAGAGCTGCCAGGGTCTCCAGCAGACAGTTACAAGATAACGCGCTCACACAGAAACAGCCTTCCATACTGCTGTTAATTAGAGGTTGTTTAGTACCCGGAGGCATTTGTACTCTTGAAATGATCCCGTTTCAGTTGTTACTGGGCCCACTGAGAACACTATTTGCAATCTTGACTTAATGCTCTTGATTCATTCAGTGACGTTCGTGTACGTACAAAGGAATGCGTGCGAATGAGTGCAAGAGGAGACATAGCTCCAACCTGAAGACTAGCAAAAATTTTATTTCATTTTATGGTTGATTTTTTTAGGAGAAATAAGAGTTGTGTGAGCCCTATCTTGATTATATTTTAATTCATCAGGTTAGCACCTGTTTTGGTTTGCCTGTTAATTTTAAAAAATGGTGTTATTTACTCAGTAGACCACTGTAAATCATCCCCCTCCACTAAACTCTATTATGTTCTCTTTTATCTCCCAGATCCCTGACAGAAGTGGAAAAGCCCTTCAGAGAGGGGCAGGTCTGTGGTTCCTGTATTGCTGGTTGAATAATGCAGTGGTAGAGCCAGGGTTGTGCACCTGCACTGGGGACTCTGGGCTGCTCCCCACTCTGCAGTGCACACCCCTGCATTTTCTCCAACAAAGCACGTGTGCTTCTGCAAAAGTTCATTTCCAACAGTACATGACACTGCATACTATGTTCCCCAAGACTAGGTAAGTCCCACTCCCTGTATGCCTTGATTTCTTAAGATTGAGCAGAAGAGAAAACGTTCCTGTCAAATCTTGTTACACAGTGCACTGTGCTGTAGCATGGAATAACATCTTTTTCTGGTTTCAACTCAAATGTGTATGAATTCAGTACACTAGCAGAAAATTATTTACTTTTATAGTATTAGATCACATAATACTCCCTTTGTATTTCTACCTGGAGGTCCCAGTTAAGCAGAGCAGCTCTGCTTCTAGTAACATTAGGGAGCTGAAACACACAACCACCTGTACAGGCACTGAGTCTGATAAGCAGACAGAGACTTTCCAGTTGAAAAGGACAGAGGTCAAATAATTCCAGATAAGCCAATTGACAGCACCACTTGCATTTTATGTTAAGGAGGTTTCCACCCCCAAATAAAAGCTCAAACAGCAGAAGAGACTGCATCAAAAAGCATTCATCAGAATTTCTGTGCCCTCCCTTATTAACATACTGAAAATAATAACCTCACTCAGGCTATTTTGTCCTAATCATGACTTCTCATGCTGTTTCTAAACTCACTTGTCAGATGAAAAAATATTCATCCTATTTCCATCAAATTCAGTTCTTTTAATTCTCTGCAAATCTGAAGCAACTAAAATAACAAAACTGAGAATTTCTTCAGCTACTTGGAAAAGTTTCTTGGACTGATATGTAATGTTTTTGCCATTTTCACTATTTGCACAATAAAAATTGTTAATATAAGCTGAAAAAAAATATTATTGAAATGTTAAATACCTAAAGGTCATTATAGAATTACAGAAAATTAAGAATGCACTATCAAGTATAAGATTAGTTATAGTAAAGCCATTTCTGAAGGGTGTATCTTTCTCTTGAAGACCTCCCACAGGAGAGAGTGTGAAGCCTACACAGACTGGCCATCCCATTTCTCTACTACCCATTTCTTAAAAGAAGCTTTTTCCTGATACCTAAACAGAATTTCAGAATGCAACATAACTTCCTTTTGTTATAGTCTTCAAGGACACTAAAGTACACCGTACTGACCTTTTCTGCTGGCTAGTATATGCAGAAGACTCGTATTCTTCTTTAGGATTTGATTTTGGTTTTTGAAGGGGGTGTGTGTTTTTTGTGTGTGTTTAATACTCCTTATTTATTGATATATTTGATAAGAAGGTTTTGTTTGATCATCTGGGTCATTAATGACAATATTGGGTAGTACTACAGAATCCCAGGTGATGTATCTTTCTGTTTGGATAAGGAATCATGAATTCTTTCAGTATGTTTTCCAATGAGTTTTTCAGCCAATTCTTGTTTTGTTAGATTATGCTTTCTAAAAAGCTAATAATTATCAAATTGCTAAATTATAGGAAAGGTCAAGAAATTGGAAGACTGCAGCAAATAGAAGTCTGCAATATTTTCCATAGCCCAGATACCTCAAAGACCTATCCTTTTGCTGAATTATACTCTCGGAATGATAGCATGTGTGCTTTAAGTCAAGTTCATACTGAAATAAATTTAGGAATTAGCCCATCATTAAGATTGGAACATTTTGAGAATACTGCCTAAACTCAAAATATTATGCTACAACAGTGTAAATAGTAACAACTAGAAACTAGTGATTTCAGTAATGTTAACAGCAATGTTAATTCCATGGCTAATCTTTCTTCATCAGCCATATTTTTCTCCTGGTCTTGAAGAAAGAAAGATTATATTTTGAGGTATGTGGATAAAAAACTCTATTACTTCAATACATAACAGTGGATATGACCTATGTATGTTGATAAGCTCCTCATTAAAACAAGCATATAGATGGTAGTATTGCCTATTAAGACAACATAATATATAGACAGCTGGATCATATATAATTTATACTGTTCTCACTTTACAAAACTGACAACTGAACAAATATAATTGATTCATGTACTGCAATATTCATTCCATTAGTTAGAATATATATCCAAAACTGGAGATGTCAATCAAATAAAATGAATGCATGTTTTCATAGAGCACTGTGATTCCTTTTATTAAACCAAGAAAAAAAAAAAATCAGTCACTATTTTTGGATTCAGCTTCAACAGGAGTATGACTCCTGCAAGTTATGTGGCAATAAATATACACATTTATTTTAGTCATGTTAGAAAATTATTTTGGATACCTTTGATCTTTTTAATGTGTAAGAAAATAAGCTATTTATGATAACAGTGTCCATAAACACTTTAAACAAATAGTTTCACTGATGTATAGGAACAGGAGGTAGTACTCATTCTCACTTACACCAATTTTGCACTCCATTGGTTTCAGTGAAAGTTACTCTTGATTTACACCAACACAAAAGAGGCTGGAGAAGCCCCGTATTTTAGCTGCTGTCTTTCACATGCTGATCTGTAGCTCCTGAATTGCTGGATGAATAATGCTAAGGCAAATATTACAGGTTCTGCCTGCACTTTTGTAGTAATTTACTTCAGAACCTTGGGAATATAAACAGAAATCTGTCATAAACAAAACACTCATTTCCTTCATCTAGAGCTGTGTCTGTGCTCGCTGAGTGGGTCTGCTCTGCTCAGGGTGTAAAACATGCTGTAAGACATTTTCTCATTCAGAAAGGATGCACAAATGCTATTTTAATAAGTTTAAAGTTCCCAATGTCTGCTTTCTGCTGAAGGCAGGGTGCAACAGCCACACGCACTGTTAAGAGAGATGTGCAGCTTGGGCCTGAGCAGACATAACCCCATCCTGAACACCAGTTCAAGCTGTGGTGGCACTCGAAGCAAAAACCCTTCTTGACAGGTGGCAAGAAACAAGGGGAAGGAAAAAGGGAAGGTGGGAACTTTGCCCAGAAACCAAGATCCACAGTTTCTAAGGATCTTGTGGGGATTTGTCTCATCTTGCCTGGTCTCTCAGGACTTTATATTTCTTTTATAACTGTGGCCTGTGCAGTACTGAAGGAAAGGATAAGCCCCTGCAGCTTTTCCCTAAACAGTGGTTTATCTTGTCTTGGCAGTTTGAACATTTACACAGAGCATTTCATTTTTGACCTATTTCCAATACCCATTGCTACCTTAGCCACACAGACACATACAATGTATTACTGCGGTCCTTCCTCACACATGGAGAGATAAAGGTATGAAAGTCCATAGCTGTGTAGGCTACAACATTTATATTGAAACTGGATACATTAATATACTGTTGGTAGATAGAAATATTATTATAACACTTTTATATAGAAATGCATAGTATTGTACAGGATTATTACTCATAAAAATATTATATCACTTTTATATAATGTAAAGCTATATAAAATATATATTATGATACCCTAATGTATACCTTCCATTTATTGAAATAAAGGGAATCAAAATTTCTATTACATGTCAACAAAGCTCTTCTAGCTGGAGTAAAGTTATAGGTGCAGAGAAGCAGACAATTATCCCAGTCCCAGAGGGTTTACCATGGTCACCTATGCTCCACATCTCCAAATAGCATCTTGGTGATGTGACGTTGGGCAGTTTGGGAAGGGATGCAGAGAGTGGTGCTCTGCCTTCAAAGAAGGCAGCAAATAAACCCACTCAGCTAAACATAATAAAACACACACACAAAAGGCTACATAACCACACTGTGACTTTTAAAAATTAATACTGCTTACAATTTATTTCCTAAGCATTAATCTGTAGCAACGAGCCCTGACATGATCTACAGTAAATGTGCTCAGTATCATAGAGAATATTTGCATGTAAAATTTTCTAATACTATTACCTGGCTCTCCAGACAACCACACTGGGGATTTCTGCCAGTTTAACGTACCTTAGCTGTGATACAGCAGACCGACCTGCAGATCAACTCAGAACATGACTAAATGTAAAATTGCATTGTGATTGATGGACAAAGAATTATCTAAATTGTTTCACTTAACCTTCTCACACTGTTATTTGTTGTACAGGAATATAGTGCATGCACATCTGCATGAAATAAGGCCTCAATCTCCTTTACCATGGCTCTATGGTCTAATCATAGAACAGTTTGGGTTGGAAGGGACCTTAAAGATCATCCAGTTTCAACCCCCCTGCCGCAGGCAGGGACACCATCCACTAGACCAGGTTGCTAGCTCCAAGCAACATCTTAGGAAGTATTTCTGTGGCTGAAGCAGTGAGACCCATTCACAGCTGCAACTCGAATTAATGAAGATTTTCCTTCTTACAGAAGGACTGACTTGTGTCAGAGAGCTGAGCAGGAGGGGCAAGACCCCCCCACTTGCAGTTCCCATCCTGGTTTGCCCAAAGTTAGACTTATGGTGGGTCAAGATCACTGGCTTAGCTTTGCTCCAAACACATCCTGCAATTTCCTGCTTTCCTTTTAGATCCCTGAGCTGGAAGCACTTCATGGGGTAGGTGGAAATTTTGGGGTGTGAGTGCCAACTGTAGAAGCTTGGCTTCACCATTCTTTAGGGTGAAATAATTTGAATAGTTGCAAAACTGTCTGCATCCTTTTCACTTAAAAAAAAAGTGTTAGGCAAGATAAGCAGTCTTTTCTCCATGGGAAAAGCTTATTCCTATAGAGATATGTGGTATTTATTGCCATAGACCAATAACTTACATGATGATATAATCACAGAATCTTTAAATTTATGTGAAAACTAGTCACTGTTAGAGAGAAAGACAGAAAGCCCTCTTTATTACATCAAATTAATGGACGCATTGCTACGTTTCAAATGGGAGCCCTTTATACACCCACAGCATATCTCTTTCAGCAGTGGCTATGCTGTGGCCAAGTCCCGGGCAGGGAAGCTGAGAGGAAAAGAAGATGCTGTACAATCCCACACTCTAAATACTGCTTGAGAGCATTTCTTGATGGTCCATTTTGCAAAGCCAAAAGATTGTCCATGTTATGTTCTTTCAGGTATTAGCCATGTTAAAAAGAGAGAGGAGTGAGGAGCAAACAGCTCACATGACACAGCAGGCAGTATTTTCCCCTCAGCTGCAGAGGGCTCTGACAAACACCCATTCATCACCCCCTGGTAATTTGGTAGATGCTAGATTAGGGCTTTCTTTGCATGTGATGACACAAATTCATTATAAAAGAGCTGGTCTGCACCAGGGTGACCAGGGCATGGGCTCTGGGCTTGCTCACGTTACAGTGATTTGTGGAGGACACCAAATAGGGACTTAGGGCAGCAAAAGTGATGGCAAGCGATGGCATTTATCAGATGCTCAGGAGGGGAAACAGCTCCTGAGTGACTCATGATGAATGCACAGGAGAGTCTTTCTGACAGACACAGAAAACTGGTTATTTTCCAAAGAGCAGCAAGGAATTCTTTAACTGGAAAGAATCCAGGCCACCAAGTGGGATAAATCCTCCCCTGTCGGTGCACTCTGTATGATTTCCTGCAAGCCCTGCTTTGCCACCCATCAGGTTTCATGGATTCCAGGTTGAACAAACCTAACAGGATTCATCCGTGGCCCATGGAATATTCCTTCCATCACATCAGTCTTCACCCAGAGCTTTTCCCAGGGATTTTTCCCTCCATCTCTCCCATTGCTCCCAGGCTACCTTCCTTCTCCAGCTGTCCCAGCAGAATCTTCCGTTCCTCCAATGGGTCCCCTGCCACAAAGTGGCAACCAGGAGGGCACCAGCAGGCAGCTCTCCCCTGCCTTCACCCAGACGTATCTTTTTATGTAAAACATAAGATCTGCAGTACATATATGGTAAACTGTGAACAACGCAAACAGCTCAGCCATCCGTCACAGCACCATATGGCTGGATGTAAAAAATAGGTCTTAAAGATTATAACATAATGAACAGAAACAAATGTCTTCACTAATATAAATAATGAAACCTTTGTATATGTATAGCTATAAATATGTATGTGTGCTCCCTTCAGGTTTTTGCTTATGTATACACGTATACAGATCCAGACCTAAAACAAGAAATTGATTTAATACATGTTTACAAAGAGGAAGGCTACAGAGCACCCACAGAAGTATGCTTCAGAAGGTCACAAATCTATCAGGAAAAGAACTGATTTTATTAGTTTAAATAAGCCTATAATTGAAAGAATAACTACAAGTCACAAATGTCAGAGTCTGCCTGAATCTACCTGGCTAAACCAGAGTTTCTTAGAAAGAGAGAAGAGGGCTGCTGTTCAGTGCACCATATCCTGTGTTAGCAGCCAAGCAGAGAAGCACCTCAAACACTTTGGCTGTTGCTGTAGGTGGGAAAATACACCTCCCAAAATGAGCATTCATCACAGCACCTGCTTGCTTCTCTTGCAAGCTCTTCACAGTGAACTGATTTGATTTTCTTCAGAACTCCTAAGATTTCACAAATTGCAGTGGTCTATAATAGTGCCAACAGTGAACGTACCAGTCCTACATTTATCCATACCTGCTCTGCTGCATTCCCAGACATTTTCCAGATCTATTCTGTTTTGACTCTGCAACACCAGAAGAACTCTCTTGCAGGAGTTCCATGAAATGCTAACCAGGAAAGAAATCAAGACCCTACTGGAGAATCATACCAATTTTGTCAATCTTAAACAACATTTCTAATGACAAACCTGAGATTACTGTAATGTAAATAAGGAAGAACAGGCTTGTTAATGCAGAAATGGCAGACTTCAAAGGCAACTGATTCCCCATTCTGTTATAGAAAATTCTGGGAGAAAGATGCAGGATGTACACGACAGAAAAACAGGAAAGTCCTTTAAGCAATAATATTATTTTCATTCTAAAGTTTTGGGATCTCTGTCACTAGAAATTTCTAATGACAGGTATGATGTGGTTAATCCTATCCCTGGGTCAAATGAAATACATGGCTTCTTGAGGTCCCTCTACCTGCATTGCTACAGTTCTGGTGAATTCCTCCTTGGAGGAATTCTTTTCCACTCTTATTTCAGAGCACCACTTCATCCCCAATAGGAATGATAAGGTTGTTGACATCTAAACAAAGAATGGGAGTAGGATGAGAAACAGCCTTTTTCTTATCCATCTGTATCTAGATCACCGAGTTTTCATCTTAAGAAGTCAGTTTTGACCAAAAGGACTTATATGATAAAAATAGCTTATATGTTCTCTTCTTTACATCTCAATTTTTCTGTATTTCTGAAAAAAAAAAAAATTAAAAATAAGAAAGCTATCAGAGGAATTGCCTGGGTAAGGCCAGAATGAGTTCTGGTTACACACAGCTTCTACTGCACTCATGAGCATTACTTTGCTAATTAGGAGAGAAGAAGCTTAAGTGTTGAACAGAGTTCTTACAGTAGATCTGCATTTTTAGAAAAACAAACTCCAAAGCCCCCTAAAACAGGCAAGATGAGCTCATTGCAGTTCAACATGGCCCCTTTTTTTTCCTTCTGTAAAGAGGTTTCCTCTTGGCACATTTTCCATGATCTCTATAGCATGTAAACCTGTTTCAAGGAGCTGCCGGCAATGGGCTAATACAGTGTAATAGAGCTGTTATCCTGTATTCTACAGCAGGTTTACAAGTGAATAAAAATGATATATGAATGATAATGAAAACTAATGTCTTCCTGCTTTTTACACAATGTGAAAACAGAGGGATAATCCAGAGAGAGGTGCACAGTTAATGCATTTTCAAGCTAATTTGCCCATGGACACAGGGAAGCAATGAATCCAAGAGCACAATAGAAATAAAAAGTCCTGAAATGTGATGTGAACAAAAAAAAAAAAAAAAGCAGAAATATTAACTGAATTTTTTTTTTCCTATCAACATCTTTTAAGACAGAGATCAAGAAATCCTCTTTTTTTTTTTTGCCTGCTGAAAATCAAGACATGATGAGTCAGGTTTATCCTATAGTATCAATGTTTAGTGCAGAATTTTTTTCAGCTTTACTTCTGGTCTTAACAGATCACTAGCACTGAAGTATCCGTGTTCCCTTTCCGAGCTGAACGCTCTATGTAGCTTTTTATTTTAATCTTTATCATGGGGATACATTTCTTCCCATCAAACTCATGCTGAATACTCAGCAGGAGTCGTTATTGGCATTAGTGCTATATAGACTAATAGCATATTTCATAACTACTCATGAAAAACAACATTTTCCCTGGGAAAAAAAAAAATAGAGTATTTGGAAATATCTGGGAAACTTCTAAAGCTCAACTACCAGAGGATAGAATTGGTTACAGGTAAGCAAACTGTGCATTTAAAGTTTACACACAAAGGAAGTATGCATCTGTAAACGGCCATTTCTTACAGTGCATGGAGACAAGAACTGATTTCTAAGCCTCAGTTTTGCAATAAGAGGCAAGCCAAAAGATCAGGAGTCTGGAGGGTGATTAGCACAGTGTGATGGGGCTTGTTTGCACTTTTATAATTGCTTCATGAAGCCTGCATGGTAATTTGGAAAGTGTTTTTTTTAATAGATGGTTTTAAGAAAATTACCAAGGTATTACAGGCTGGAAAAGACTAATTTGTTTCAATTACTGTAACCCAACATTGCGGAATTTCTGCAACAGACAAGGGACCTGCTCCTTTGTTGACTTCCACATCACAGAATCAGGACCCTGGCATAAAGCAATTTGATGCAATGGTAGTTTATACTCTGACGCTAAAAGCTGGTAAATCAGAGCAGACCAGAGTTAGTGTTACTAGTGTTACTTTTGCAGCTGTTACTGATGCTGCATGTTCAGACGCCCTTTGCAGGGAAGTTTTAGAAGGGCTCACCAAGGCAGGGCTGTCAGCAAATGTGAAGCAGGCTCCTACTGTTTCACAGCATTTCTGTGGTTAGAAAGTACTCACACTGAAAAAGCAAACACTGCAGCAACTACATCCTCATTATTCAAGTGCCTCTGCACACAGGGTGTCACTGGCTTTCTCTGGAAGTTGTCTGCCGCTGTCATTCCCACAATTTGTTGATGCTTCTTCAGTAGTTCACTACCACCAGCACCTTCCCATGCTGTCTGCAGCTTTCCTTTGCTTTAATTTCATCCTCCAACATCTCCTTTGGCGAGAAACTTGCTCTTTTTAATCTGCTTCTTCTCATATTGAAACCTAAAGTTCTTTTTCTTAGAAGAAAATAAGACCATTGAAAGCAAACTCAGTGACAACAGCTGGCTGATCAAATATACATAAGGAAGAATCTGCTGCCTGGTCTTCTATAGCTCTCTTTTTCCTGTAGTCATCATCCAACTCTTTTTCCCTGATACAACATTATAGCATATTACACGACTTGTCTGTCAAAGGCCTTACCTGAGACACACTCTTAGCATTAAACTGCTCCTGACTTCCGGATTGCTGTTGCTCAGGATCAGGCACCAGCTTAGATGTTGTTAATCAATTAGTTTCAGATCTATGACACAAAATAAAAATATTGACAAGAGAAATAATAAGATTGAGCTGAAACTGAGTTTTGCTGCAAGCCAGGGAGCAGCAGTATGCTGCCTTGCCCTTGGAGTGAATCAGGGACTGTGCTTTCAGAGACTGCTCTTCTGTTTTTCACAAATTCAATTCTGATTATTGCTCTTAAGAAAAAGCTCTACTGGGCAGGTGGGGATAAAGCAAAATTCTGCTTATTGCTAGGCCCTTTATCTCACCTGTGTGATCCTGTGATGTTCAACATCTTTGTCACTGACATGGACAGTGGGATTGAGTGTGCCCTCAGCAAGTTTGCTGATGACACCAAGCTGTGTGGTTCGGTTGATAATGCTGGAAGAAAGGAATGCCATCCAGAGGGACCTTGACACGCTTGTGAGGTGGGCTGATGCCAACCTCATGAAGTTTAACCATGACAAGTGCAAGGTCCTACACCCGGGTCAGAGCAATCCCAGGCACAGCTACAGGTTGGGCAGAGAAGAGATTCAGAGCAGCCCTGTGGAGAAGGACTTGGGGGTGCTGGTCGATGAGAAAATGAACATGAGCCATCTTCAGTGTGCGCTTGCAGCCCAGAAAGCCAACTGTATCCTGGGCTGCATCAAAAGGAGCGTGACCAGCAGGTCGAAGGAGGTGATCCTGCCCCTCTACTCTGCTCTCGTGAGACCTCACTTGGAGTATTGTGTGCGGTTCTGGTGTCCTCAACATAAAAAGGACATGGAACTGTTGGAAGAAGTCCAGAGGAGGCCACAAGGATGATCAGGGACTGAAGCACCTCCTGTATGAAGACAGGCTGAGAAAGTTGGGGCTGTTCAGCCTGGAGAAGAGAAGGCTGCGTGGAGACCTCATAGCAGCTTCCAGTATCTGAAGGGGGCCTATAGGGATGCTGGGGATGGACGCTTCATTAGGGACTGTAGTGATAGGACGAGGGGTAATGGGTTAAAACTTAAACTGGGGAAGTTTAGGTTGGATATAAGAAGGAAATTCTTTCCTGTAAGGGTGGTGAGGCACTGGAATGGGTTGCCCAGGGAAGTTGTGAATGCTCCATCCCTGGCAGTGTTCAAGACCAGGTTGGACAAGGCCTTGGGTGATATGATTTAGCGTAAGGTGTCCCTGCCCACGGCAAGGGGGTTGGAACTTGATGATCTTAAGGTCCTTCCCAACATTAACGATTCTACCATGCTATGATGTAATTAAGTGGTTTAAGGACAAAAGTGGATACTCTCTGTCTTTATCCAAAAGAAAATGAAGTCCGTGTTGAAATATCTCAATATTCTGCAAGTCCTCATACAGCACTGCATTGAAATTATTTTTATTATGTCATAGTACATTATAATAATCTTGTGAAATATTTCTGTGCTAACAAAGATAAAAGACAGCCCAAAAGACATCACTCATTTCAGGTTAACCGAGTTCAGCACCACTTGAATCAATTTACATTATCCCAAATTTAATGTACTGCATTGCATTAATTTAGAAAACTGAATGCATTAGTATGATCAGCAATATAGTAACTGACTATATGGTAACCGAGTTACCTGAAACCCAGAATTATTTCCTATTTCCAAGTAAAAAAATAATCTGCACATTTATGGATCTTAATGACTAGATCAAGTGGAAAAACTGAATGCGTATCCATCAGGGGTTCTACGCATATTTAATTAAGTATGAAATAATAAATGCCTGATTTCTACAGGATTGGGTAAACTTCCAATTAAAATAAGATGCAGTGTACACTTTTCCTTCTCATTAGTCAAAGCATAAAGCATTTTAAAATTTCCTAAATAATTTACTTGTATTAAAATAAAGTGAAATGCTTAAAATATTAATAGGGTACTTTACAATCCTGTAGTCAATAAGTTGCTATATGAAGGTAATGTAAATAATTTATGGCTGTATTCAGCAGAAGCCGCCTGCAGTTCTCAGCAGAGTAGAGTCTCACCAAGCCGAGGGACCAGGCACGTGGCCAAGGTACAAGTTACACTCACATCACAATTAAACCCTATAGACAGCGGCAAAATCCATGGGCAACATAAAACTTAGTGACTTGAGCCTGCAGGTGTCAAAAGTATCTGGTGGAAGTCCCACTGTTTTTGGCTCCTGCTGAAGGATATGGTGCCCAGGACCAGCTTCTTGTTGGGTGTGAGGTACATCACACCATGCCCTCCGCTTTTGGTCACCTGAGTATAACACAAAAAAAACGGGACTAGTGCTTTTTGAAGATGGAGGAAGAAATAGTCTTTCAATGCAAAGATAGTGTAAAATGGAGTGGTGTGGACTGAAGGGCTAGGCTGCTGAGCAGTCTTCACAACACCAACCAATACCTCTCCATGGCATGTCTGTAGGTAGGCAATCACCAACACCACCACCAGCAATGCTGTCCCCATGCCATGCAGTACAATTAATAGCATAAATATTGTATTTCCAAATCCAAGGAATTACAATGCATTTGGTCAACTTCTGTAAGAATGTGTAGTGCTGACAGAGCCCATGTGTGCTGGATCGTAACCCTTCCCTGGTCTGAGGGCAAGGACAGAATTCTCAATTTTCAAAAGTCACATGAGCACAAGAGTTTTTAGAGCTGCAAATGTGAATAAACCAGGTTACTGATATGCAAAACACAGCAGGCATTTCAGCTGCAATTTTCTGCTAAGAGTCAAGGTATGGATGTTAAAGCTGGGCTTTCTGATGAGAAAACACATATACAGACTATCCAAGCAGATTGCTGGGTTCGGTGAATTAAGACTGCAGTACTTTACCAGTGAGTACATAATAGGTTTGTGCAGTGAAACTGAATTAACATATTTTTCCCATAGATCATTTTGTAATGTAGAGGAAAATTCCCTAAAATATTTCATTATCTAGCTATGGCTATAATAAATAAGAATTAATTTCATAATAAGAAATTATTAAATACTGCCTTTTATCAAGTGTTGCAGGTAATATCCTACTAAAACTTAGATTTACAGCTCAGATAATATATAGAAACATGGCATTTGGCTGGAACAGCTTTTAAGATTTTTCAAATGCTAGAATCACTTTTCATTGAAACTGTGACAGAAACTGAGAAACTGGCACAGTGCCTTTTTCTAATATGTACATTAAATCATGCATTCTGTGGCAGGATTTGTAAATTTTTTTCTGTTTATAGAAGTCATGTACAATATCTTCCTTGAGTCACACCAAGATCCATCTGTATAAAGATATATTTGCCTTGTAAATAGGTGAGTGTTAAAAACCTGCCCCCAAATCCTTTGTCACAGTGTGTTCCGCAGGCACAGCTCCCCAGAGCTGGCTGCTTTGCCTAATTGATAAATGTAGTTCTTGAAAGGTGACAGCGGACAAGGCTATGCCAACCTCAGTGTACTGGTGAGCAGCTGTGAAAGTGTCTCTCTAAGCATAAGTGTGCAAGAAAGCGCTTGGCACAGAGAAGCCCCTTTTTTCGTAGGTCCCTTGTGTTTGACATTCAGCACTGCAAAAAATTGTAGTGACTTTCTCTTTGCTGCAGCACCTTTTCTTTACTAGTTATATTCTTTTATGAGGAGCTATTCTTATAAAATGCATTTTAAGGACCTTTTGCAAGCTGGGTATCATAAACCCAGGAAAGAAATGAAAACCAGCTTTAGTCCTGAAAAGACCTTTTCCTCAGGGAATACCTCATCATTTGAAAACAGAAGAGATGATTAGCACAAAACAAAACACTCCAAGCTCCCAAATTCTGCCTATGGCCTCCAGGGACTGGGTAAGGTGAGGGAAGAGGAGCATGAACCTCTCCCATGGCTGCCCATACAAGGCTTGCTGTCCTTGGGCCATGCTGCAGGCAGGGTCGCTTTGCCTCCCCACCTTTGGTTTATGAGCGTCACTGAAACCTCGCAGAAGTGAACATGACTTTTTTTCTTGTGATCCCCATAGCAAAGAAACACAGACACCATCTTCTTCAACTCCCCAAACTATTCTGTAGCTGTGTAAAAGGAACAGACTCTCTCTCACTGTCTGCAACTCGCTTCTTTCTGCCGGATTCTTATTTCTATGACAAGGGTGGTGGAAGCCTAAATTAAATTTGGGACCTAATTTTGTACACAATCTTAACCTCTTGAGTAAACAATAGATGGAGCCTGCCTATTAAATCATCATGTTTTAATTAAATTCTTTGCAACTTATGAGTTCTTTGAACTGAGTTAGGTGATAAATGCATTGTAATTTTAATAGGGTTATATTTTGTGCTAAACTCACATAGAACAGTGACACAAGATATATACTGTGTCACCACAAAATACTGCATGGTATTTTGCTGATAACTATACACTTGGTATATGACAGGGTAGCCTCACAGAAGAAACAAAAGCAATGTAAAGGGGGTTATTTTCAATTACAGACTTAAAATTCAGAAGCGCATGAGTATTTGTGGCACTTGCAAAAAAATAAAAAATGCATATATCCTTCATATTAACGATTCAGGCTCTACTGAAACCAAAGGAAAATCCACCTATTGCTTTGAAAGGCTTTAGGATCAGGCCCTTAGTGTGTTATTGAAATAATAACATAAAATAAATAAGCAGTTCACAAAAATGAAAGAGACAAGTATGGCTTCTCTCAGTAGTACATGAAATAGTATTAGACCAGAATGAAAGAGGCCTAAAGAAAAACACTGACAATTCTTTTTTACTTAAACAACACAGAGAGGCTTAGG